AGAAGTTCCTGTCGTCTGGCGTCATTGACTTTTCAGCCGTGAGCCGTGACGACAAGGAGAGTGAGTAGTGGCTTTTGTGCTGTCATGGCATGAGAGACAGAGTCTAAGTCCTGAACAAAAATTACATATCATATATATCATTTTCATCTTCTATTGGTATGGTTTGGGATCGTGTTTAGATTAGAGGGACATTGCTATTGAAAGTATATTTGCTTAGTCATCCCTTTTCTCTTAATTATAAATTAGCAAAATTAATAAATAAGTGAAAATATAACAGATCATTGTGTTATTTAGCTTCTGTTCTTAGAGAAGGGGCCTCACCTGCAGGTTTCAAATACCACAACACCACTCTTCCCTGTCTTTCAGAATCAGCCGTGGTGGTGAGTGGCGGGGAGTTCACATGGGGCGTGAAAGAAGACGAGGAGCCGTGGGTGCTGCGCGATGTGGATCTGAGGGTGGAACCGGGGCAGTTGGTGGCAGTGGTGGGATCAGTTGGGGCAGGCAAGAGCTCTCTCGTGTCTGCACTCTTGGGCGAGATGACTAAGAATGCTGGTCGTGTGACTGTAAATGTGAGTAGAGTGGAATAAGCATGGTATTTCATCGTGCAAATCTCATTTTAGGTACATGCAAAAAGGATAATCATTTAGACTTCTCCAGTTACAATTTGAGGACCTTATCTTTCCTAGGGCAAAGTGGCATATGTCGCCCAACAAGCGTGGCTCCAGAACGCGAGCCTGAAGGACAACATCACGTGGGGACAGCCTGTGGATGAGAAGAAGTATCAGAAGGTCATTTCTGCCTGCGCTCTCCAGCCTGACCTCGACATGCTCCCTGCCGGAGATATGACAGAAATTGGGGAGAAGGTAACTAGTGAATATTGGATTTGCAAAATGTGTAATATCTAAAAATATATATGCAGAATAAGTCACTAATGCAAATGGTATTATATTTAGGTACATGCAAGGGATGGAAAAGACTACGACAAATGTAGAGAAACATAAAAATAAAAACAAAAGATAGATATGCACTGTAGGGATGATATTATTAAAAATTATGAACAGTAATCAAAGACCGAGGAGCATTAGAACGCAGATATTGCTAAGTCCAGGTATCTCCTTGTCTAGGGCGTCAACATGAGCGGCGGGCAGAAGCAGAGGGTCGCTCTCGCGCGCGCAGCCTACAGCGACGCCGACGTCTTCCTGCTCGACGACCCTCTCAGTGCGGTCGACGCGCACGTCGGTCGGCACATCTTCGACAACCTCATCGGTCCTCAGGGGCTGATGAACGGCAAGGTGAGTGGAGCCGATGCTGTGCTTTTTCTAGAGAGAAATATTGATATTTTAGGCAATTGAAAAAGAAATCCTTATATGTGCTTCTCAGATACAGGTTTGTATCTGCACTACAAGGGCATATGCATGCTCACAGACACATATACGTGCATATATATCTATATGTTTGCTGGTGTAGCTCAAACCAACTATACATTTTTTTACTTATTCGTCTTTCTATCTGTCTATATTCGTATGTACATATGGAGGACGCTTTTCATGTATGTACGTATACCTGTATTGTGTGGTTCCGGTACCCTTGCCCCCCATCAATATTAACAACATTCCCTTCTATCTGTAAATCCGTGAATGGTAAAACACTCTACCGTGTTGATACTATGGTAAAAAAAATAATTAAAAAAAAAAAAAAAAAAAAAAAAAAAAAAAAAAAAAACACAATGTAAAATCCGTATATCTTGCCTTCAGACCCGCATCCTGGTGACGCACGCGCTGGCCTACCTCCCGCGCGTCGACACGGTGGTGGTGGTGCAGGACGGCCGCCTGGTGGAGCGCGGGACGTACTCGCAGCTGCTGGCCAAAGGAGGCAACTTCGCGCAGTTCCTTCTCAACCATATCAACAACGCGGAAGAAGTCGAGGATGACGAAGATGGTAAATATTTTTGCTTGGATTAGTATGTTACACACATACAAGCACATGCGACTCTCTCTCTCTCTCTCTCTCTCTCTCTCTGTATATATATATGTATATATATATGTATATATATGTATATATATGTATATATATATATATATATATATATATATATATATATATATATATATATATATATATATATATATGCTTCCCCCAATTTCTTATTGAGAGGTCATTTGGCAGTACCACCCTTACCTGACTGGATGTCCTTCCTAATCAACCGCGGTTCGGCGCGCTGACACTTTTGTCACGGCGGTGACTTCCCTTACGACACCTGCGTTTGATTTCTCAAGGCGATATGTCGTTTTCTCGCCAGGAGATCAGGCTCTATGTCTATATCTATATATACAGGAATTATATCTATATCTATCTATCTATCTATCTATCTATCTATCTATATACATATGTATGTATATATATGTATATATATATATATATATATATATATATATATATATATATATATATATATATATTTATATATGTATATATATATATATATATATATATATATATATATATATATATATATATATATATATATATATATATATATATATATGTATATATTTGTATATATATGTGTGTCTATATATGTATATGTATATCTATATTTGTTTATATTCATATGTATATATATATATATTTCTGTATGTATATATGTAAACACACACACACACACACACACACACACACACACACACACACACACACACACACACACACACACACACACACACACACACACACACACACACACACATATCTATATATCTATCTACATATATATATATATATATATATATATATATATATATATATATATATATATATATATATATATATATACATATATACACACACCTATATCTATATCTATCTATCTATTTATCAATCAGTCTATCTGTCACAGAAATATAGTAATAAATGAATTCATTGTGTTTTGCGTTGCATTTATAGATATAGGCATACACGACAGTACATTACCTATATGATTTACAAAAGCCTGTAGCTAGAAGTTTACATGCCTCGCATCCACACATGCAAGGAAACAAATTTTTGTCTTTATTCTCTAGACATTGACGAGTTGGTGGACCAATTGGAAGACACGCCTATGGGACAGAAGTTCCTTAGTCAGATTGCGAGGCAGAACAGCAAGGTCGAAGAAGGAAGGTAAGACGTTAGGTTAAGAATGTTACTTTTTGTGAATAATGAGATAACGTGGGGGATGTTGTATGAAAATGCATTAATATAAGAACCTCTCATGGACTGTTGGAGGAATCCTATATTATCTCGAGGATAATCAAGGAAACAGCGATAGCTTGATTTTTTTTTACTGACGAAACAATAGTCTCAATGAGGTCCTTGGGAAAGCGAAAGAACGGGACCTAGCGTGTGGTCGCGACGAAGGACGGGCAAGATCTTAAGCCGGCTCTAGCCTGGTTTGGGTTAAGGTCAAGGGGCCTCTATACGAAGAGAACGAAGGGTTCCAAATTGACCTCCCTTGATCCCGGGAAAGCTCAAATCGCGGACACGGTAGAAACGTGGCTTATGTAGCGACGTGGATGTCTATAGCGACCGCGTGGTCAGAATCATGTCTTTATGCAGGAATGACTTCCTGTACATCCTACCCGTCTTCTATGTTCCTAAATCTGTTACAACGTGGTCCCCACGTGGCAGACTTCCCTCTTCAGGGGTCAAAGGAAATCACCGCATAACCTTTCGGCTCTCAACGCGTACAGTGGGGCTCTCGGCCTTGACCCAAGCCGAAGCTTGCATTCCCTTTGACATGACTGCATGACATTTCCCACTCTTCTGCTTCCCAAGGACGTCATCGGTTCCGTTGACGCAAGACCTTCCAACACCAAAGAACTCAAGCTATAGCCGAGTTTCCCCAATCATCATTCAGTAATTTTTTATCGGATTCCTATAAAGTCTAAGAAATGATCATATGCATAATGATAAAGTAAACCACCTGATTCGTTTTTCGAGGCTGAGATAAGTTGGTGATGACTGGTTGAGCACATATAAGTTAACATCACTCTATTTCAAATGATTAGCACTTCCTACCTGCCAACGTCATCTTTTGTGATTTTCATTTGCGCAAACTCCCAGTGCTCACGGCAGGATCGGCAGTATCCGACGCAGAAGGAGAGGCAGCAGCTGTGGGAGCGGAACCCGCTTGAGCGAGAGCGACACCGAAGGAAGGGGCGTCCCCAGGATCCTAAGGCAGGACTCCAAACTGAGCCGAGGTGGAGGAGGAGGAGCTGGAGGGAGACCCAGCGTCGACCACGAGAAGATCCCCATGAAAGATATGAAGGAACCTGCCGGGAAAACGCTTGTGCAGGAGGAGACGTCCGAAACCGGGAAGGTAGGATGGCGGGCGTAGAGGGGAGAATAAAAGGAAGAGAGAGAGAGAGAGAGAGAGAGAGAGAGAGAGAGAGAGAGAGAGAGAGAGAGAGAGAGAGAGAGAGAGAGAGAGAGAGAGAGAGAGAGAGGGCGAGAGAGCGCAAGAGAGAGAGCGCAAGAGAGAGAGCGCAAGAGAGAGAGCGCAAGAGAGAGAGAGAGAGAGAGAGAGAGAGAGAGAGAGAGAGAGAGAGAGAGAGAGAGAGAGAGAGAGAGAGAGAGAGAGAGAGAGAGAGAGAGAGCGAGAGAGCGCAAGAGAGAGAGCGCAAGAGAGAGAGCGCAAGAGAGAGAGAGAGAGAGAGAGAGAGAGAGAGAGAGAGAGAGAGAGAGAGAGAGAGAGAGAGAGAGAGAGAGAGAGAGAGAGAGAGAGAGAGCGAGCGAGGTAGAGAGAGCGAGAGAGAGAGAGAGAGAGAGCGAGAGCGAGAGAGAGCGAGAGAGAGAGAGAGAGAGAGAGAGAGAGAGAGAGAGAGAGAGAGAGAGAGAGAGAGAGAGAGAGAGAGAGAGAGAGAGAGAGAGAGAGAGGGAGCGAGCGAGAGAGAGAGAGAGCCAGAGAGCGCAAGAGAGAGAGCGCAAGAGAGAGAGCGAGAGAGAGCGCGAGAGAGAGCGAGCGAGGGAGAGAGAGAGAGAGCGAGAGAGAGAGAGAGAGAGAGAGAGAGAGAGAGAGAGAGAGAGAGAGAGAGAGAGAGAGAGAGAGAGAGAGAGAGAGAGAGAGAGAGAGAGAGAGAGAAAGGGAGGGAGAAGGAAGCTTATCGCCATATATAATGCAAGAAGAAAAGACCAGAGGCTCACCACAAGTGTTCCTTCGCAGGTGCAGTGGAAGGTGTACCAGTTCTACGCTGTCACCATGGGTCTCTTGCCTGCCATCCTTCCTTGCATTTTCTTCGCTGTTGCCCAAGTAAGAAAAGAAATCCCTTTTAAAAATAAGTGAAAATTCATGTTTATAATTAATTCTTTTCATGCCACTGAGGTGAGTGATATTCACAATTACAGATTACCATTTTGATTAGATGTAATCATATGTACTGACGTTCCACCCGTGCTGTCCTTAGGGTTGTCAGGCCGGAGGTAATATCTGGCTCTCTCAGTGGTCCACCAAAACACTGGGAGACGAGGAAATTACTGAGAACGTAACCAACACCATGGGCAACGTCACCAGCAATATCACCGAGGATGGATTCGACAAAACTCAATTTCTGGCTGGCTACGGAGGTTTCGGCTTAGGGCAGTGTGAGTGCAGATTTGCTTAAAGAATCATCGCTTAGCATCAGCGAGAATATCGTGTTTCAAATATACGACATCTGTATCAAATATCTGTATCTAATATTTTCGTGTGCTAGAGCTAGTTTCAAGATTCGAAATGCCTTTGGTTATTTACTTTTCATTAGGCATCGTATTATTGCATTATCGTCGAAATTCATGTCATCTATAGCTTAACCTGATATCCCGCAGCTCTTTTCTACTACATGGGATCGTTCTTGATCTGGACCGGATGCATGCGGGCGGGAATCCGGATTCACCACCGCGTTCTTGACAACGTGCTCCGACTGCCCATGAGCTTCTTCGACACCAACCCGAGCGGCAGAATCATGAACCGCTTCAGCAAAGACGTTGATGTGCTGGATAGTCTCCTGCCGATGCTTATGGGTGCTGGACTCTCCTGCTTTGCCGAGGTGAGTGAGGGGGGGAAGGAGGGAGAGAGGGAGGGAAGGAAGGGGAGAAGGAGGGGGAAGGAGGGAGGGAAGGAAGGGGAGAAGGAGGGGGAAGGAGGGAGGGAAGGAAGGAGGGAGGGAAGGAGGGAGGGAGGGAGGGAAGGAGGGGGAAAGGAGGGAGGGAGGAAGGGAGGAAGGAAAAGAGAGAGAGAGAGAGAGAGAGAGAGAGAGAGAGAGAGAGAGAGAGAGAGAGAGAGAGAGAGAGAGAGAGAGAAGAGAGAGAGAAGAGAGAAGAGAGAGAGAGAGAGAGAGAGAAGAGAGAGAGAGAGAGAGAGAGAGAGAGAGAGAGAGAGAGAGAGAGAGCAATCACAGTACACTTATCTCTCGCGTTTTTTCTCTCGACATTCCACCTTTACCTTACCACATCCCTAATCGCTTTCCAGGTTGCGTCGACCCTGATCGTGCTGGTGGGGTCAACGCCTCTCGCGGGGCTGGTGATCGTGCCCATCATGGTCTTCTACTACTTCATCCAGGTCGTCTACATCTCATCCGCACGGCAGCTCAGGAGGATCGAATCGGTGTCGAAGTCTCCGATTTTCTCTCACTTCGGGGAGAGCGTGCAAGGTATAAAGCCGACGAGGATGTTGGTAGTGAAGATATTGCAGATGGGAGTGACGAGGATGACGGGGATGTTGGTAGTGAAGATATTGCAGATGGAAGTGGCGAGGAAGACGGGGATGTTGGCAGTGAAGATATTGCAGATGGAAGTGACGAGGGTGACGGGGATGGTGGTAGTGAAGATATTGCAGATGGAAGTGACGAGGGTGACGGGGATGGTGGTAGTGAAGATATTGCAGATGGAAGTGGCGAGGAAGACGGGGATGTTGGCAGTGAAGATATTGCAGATGGAAGTGACGAGGGTGACGGGGATGGTGGTAGTGAAGATATTGCAGATGGAAGTGACGAGGGTGACGGGGATGGTGGTAGTGAAGATATTGCAGATGGAAGTGACGAGGGTGACGGGGATGGTGGTAGTGAAGATATTGCAGATGGAAGTGACGAGGGTGACGGGGATGGTGGTAGTGAAGATATTGCAGATGGAAGTGACGAGGAAGACGGGGATGTTGATAGGGAAGATATTGCAAATGGAAGTGACGAGGATGACGGGGATGGTGGTAGTGAAGATATTGCAGATGGAAGTGACGAGGAAGACGGGGATGGTGGTGACGATGACGTTCAAAGAGACGGTGGAAATATACCTTTTTTTTACAGGATTCTCTTTAATGATTATATTATTGTGCATTTCAGGCGTGGCGACCCTCCGTGCCTTTAAAATGGAGGAAGCTTTTATGGCGGAATCTCAGAGGCGAGTTGATCTCACCACGAAGGCCAATATTTCAAACTTGGCTTGCAACAGGTTAGTCAATAACGCGTTATTTCCTAATGCAAGGTCGAAGAATAACTCTAAGTTATTATTAAAGTTTGCAGAGATCGTGTACCCTAGTTTGATGAGTTCGCAAAAAAATGAAAACATTCGTATCACATATAAAAAATTATTTTAGAGTGCCATGAACTCGTTCCAGATGGCTGGGCGTGAGACTTGAGTTCATCGGAAATTTAATAACTTTCGTGGCGGCCATCTTCTCTGTCGTGGGCCGGGGTGACGTCAGCGCCGGTATGGTCGGCCTCACCATCACTTACGCCCTCAATGTGAGTCCAGCTTTGATGTTTCTTCCCTCTGGCATGTGTTACCTGTCACTGCAGTGTGTTTTACTGAATTGCGTTCGGTGATAATGCAAGGTGTAAATATATATATGCGCGCGCACACACACACACACACACACACACACACACACACACACACACACACACACACACACACACACACACACACACACACACACACACACACACATATACAGAGAGAGAGAAACTGAGACAGACGGACAGGCAGACAAACAGACAGACATACAAACAGAAGAGTGAGAATATACAGTCGTTTTTACTCAGTTTTTTGGCAAAAATATACTTTTAAGAATAACATCATTTGACATGTGATTATCCAAATCTAATCAAGGCCAGTAATTGAAATGTAATATTTTTGCTGGTGACATGATGTCATTAAGAGCGCTTTCTCTCCGCCCGCAGGTGACGGTCACTCTCAACTGGCTGGTGCGAGTGAGCTCTGACATCGAAGCCAACATCGTATCTGTGGAGAGGATCATGGAATACATCCAGGTTCGTGAACTTAAATACTGTCATACTTATGCGAACTGCTCGTAGTATATGAAGCGAGAATATGATAACTCCAACATGAACAGAAATAATGTTATCGCACTGTTGCTTGGTATATTCCAGGAAGAGAGAGAGGCCGAGTGGACGATCCAGAAAACCGCTCCTCCTCAAGCCTGGCCCGAGCACGGCGTGGTGTCCTTCAACAAGTACCAGACGCGCTACCGGCCAGGACTCGACTTGGTGCTCAAGGATGTCTCGTGCACCATCCAGGCCGGGGAGAAGGTGAGTTTTTTTTTATGCTAGGGCGAAAGATTGTGATACATAATTATAGGAATATCAGACTTGTTTGTTTAGCTTTTATAAAGAATGCCACGGTATGTATTTTTCTTGTTTCTCCATTATGGGTCATCTGTTTTTTTTTTGTGTGTGTGTCTTTGTGTGTGTGTGTTGAGAATAGATTCCTTATTGGAAATATTTACGAATTAAATTCATGTGAAAGTAACCCACCATTCACTATATCATTTTAAAAAGTGTCTGCTTATTTATAAACACATTCAGACATATTTGTTTTCAATATAAGAAAATGAAAAACACGACAGGACAGACATTTACCAATTATTTCTAAGGTTGGCATTGTCGGAAGAACTGGAGCAGGAAAGTCATCCCTCACGCTCGGGCTCTTCAGGATTATCGAGGCAGCTGGAGGAGACATTGTCATAGACGGCGTAGACATCTCCAACATAGGCCTACATGACCTCCGCAACCGCCTCAGCATCATACCTCAGGTTCGTAAAAGGAAAGCATCACTATACCCTAATTTGCTCGGCCTATGATGCTACACATTGTTTGAAATACCAACAACTAAATACTGATTATTCCTCTGCAGGATCCTGTGTTGTTTAGCGGGACGCTGCGTCTTAACCTGGATCCCTTCAACGAGCACTCCGAAGAGGAGGTCTGGAGAGCCGTGGAAATGGCCCACCTCGGGGCTTTCGTCAAGGCGCAGACCGAGACTCTCCAGTATGCCATAGATGAAGGGGGCTCCAATCTCAGGTAAGGATTTAGAGGGAAACTTGCCTCGGGGAATTCGGTTTGAGTTTCTGGTTTGAGTAGAGGAATAGTAATGGCTGAATTGACGTGTAATTGAATGTATTCGTATAATGCAGTCACAGTCTTTTGCCATTCACTTACGGCTGCATTAAAGCTATATTCGCTACAAATTCTTAAAATACAGTTTGATATATAATACAAAACGGGGGCGACTATTCGTTATATACGCTTAGATAACACATTCTGGGAACTGCATCAGGAGAGAATGTGTGAGACATCACATGCAACTGGAGGTCCTAACTTTTCTAACAATTCTTCCTCTGCAGCGTTGGCCAAAGGCAGCTTGTTAGCCTTGCACGAGCATTGTTGAGACAGTCTCGCATCTTGGTGTTGGACGAAGCCACGGCGGCCGTCGACGTAGAAACTGATGACCTCATACAAAAAACTATCAGGTCGCAGTTTGCTAGCTGTACAATCCTGACCATAGCTCATCGTTTGAATACTATTATGGACAATGATAGGTGAGTTTCAATGTTATTACCAACGTCAAATTGCCATGGAGCCGTTGAACTTCTTTTAAATTCCAACTGCACCGAAAACGTACTATGACGGTCCTTCAGCTTTACCGGTTCATATAATATGCAGTATTTCAGTGTAGTGTGTATTTATTTACCTTT